AATGCTAACAATACTTGTGTTTACAGTACTAAAAGTGTTAACACTAACGTAAGATGGTGCACAGGCTTGCAACACGAACAAACAGTAATAAACAAATGGAAAGAGGCCAAATCAAGACTGCCAAAAAAGCGAGTTATTCAAAATCTAGCAACCATGTCACCTTTTTTAATAATAAGTAACAAAATAACTAAAACACATTTTCACTCCAAACTCCCCAGAATTACATAATAACATTAATATCTTATGAAAGACGGCAGATTTGAGCTCAGAAATTATCTAATTTATTTCTTTTATTGAAAACAAAATTATCCGTTTGAAAACATCGCCTATCAGAATAACGTGTAGTAAGCAGCTGCAAACTTTTTAACCGGAACTAGAGTAGGTCCCGAGCTCGAGATTGTTATTGTTTACATTTCTATTGAAAACACCATCCATAGGAGAAAATGAATTATTTTTTTAAACCAGTATTTAATATTTTCAGATTTAGGAGCAAGCTTAGATGCGTAAAAAATAGCTGGTTTAGTTGATTATAAGTGAGTGGAGAATTTAAAGAGTAATACTAAGTTTGTTGAGTCACTTAAAGCTTTTGAACTAAATTATCCTGAGTTCCACCAACATTTGCCACGCCATTCGTGCGGGCATCTCGATTGATTCCAGAATTGTACCTAGGCGCATCTTTCTGCAAAATAAAATAAGCTCAGTCAATAATTAAAAGCATTAACTTATCAGGGCTGTTTGTATTCCGGTAAAGATCTTAAAGCTTGTAGTAAAATCATTTTATATCTAGCTTATATTTTCGAGAGAAGTAAAGAGCCTTGGCTACCACGACAAATTTAAAGTTATAAGGCTTGTACAAGACTGTTTCCAACCGTGGTAGCCGAGCGGTTAGAGAATTAGACTATTGTTCAGAGGGGTCGGGGCTCGGTCTCCGCTAAGAGGCACATGCGATATACATGGTCCTAGAATCTGTGGAAGTCCTGTGACCGATCGCTGAGCAAAACCATGGGTATACCACCTGAAGAAAAATTTTTCGTTTTTAGATATATGTCAAAAGTTTGGCCTCACGAATGAGTGGTGCTGCCAACTATACAAGAGGTTCTGAGCAAAGACGCACTTTCACCTTTTCAGCATGCAACAAGAAACAACACGCTGTTTCATATGCTTTGAAATAAGTTCCAATAATGCTTTGGTAAAAATGGTCTTCACAAAAATAAGCTCGAAAGAAAATAATGTTACTTCAGTTTCATAACTTTCCGGCTATACAAACAGCTTGTAGTGTATCTACCACTACAAATATACAATTCCAGTTCACTAGTATATAAGACATGATAACTCGATTCTATGCAGGGGTACCTTTTCGATGAATGTTGACATTGTCGATAACGACTCTTCAAACATTGGTGACCCGGACGTGATGTGAACATGCCTACCTTGACAGAAACTCCCACTTCGATATGAATACGCCTACTTAACAGTGGCACCCACTTCGATCTGAACACGCTAACTCGATTGGCTAACTCGCATACTTCGATGAATGGTTCACATTGAATAGTTGACTTGTTGTGACTGCGACATTATCCACCAAAGTGCGGTGTTCTTAATACAGCTCTCCCGGCTTTTCACAAAACAGCAAACTAGTGGTATCCCTTCGGTCGGTAGGGCGCTGGGCCCATATCCAAGAGGTCGTGAGTTCGATCCTCGCCGGCCGAAGACTCCCCGTGTAGTAAATGGTGACTGATGCACGTTAAATCTGTCGAGTCTCAAAGTCCTCCATGTTCCCGCAACAAATCAATACCTCTGGGGGTACTGATCCAGGAGTTTCCTTGTCTTCTGCATTGGTTCAAAATTACAAGGCTACGGAGTTGAACGTAAGTAGTCGTAAACCCATGAAATTGGGTCGGCTGTTCAACGACGGTTATAAAATAAAATATAATTCTGGTAAGGGAGAACTGTAGTGTATCTACCACTACAAGTATACAATTTCAATTCCCTAGTATATAAGACATGTTAACTCGATTCTATGTTGGGGTACCATTTCATGGATGAATGTTGACATTGTCGATAACGACTCTTCCCACAAGCTTTAACTTAATACAAGACATTCAGAATTTTTAAAGCTGATTAAACTAAAATGTTTGAAATAAAGCATAAATTGATTGATTGATTGATTTGTTCATTTACGTCGCACTAGAGCTGCACAATGGGCTATTGGTGACTGTCTGGGAAACATCCCTGAGGAAGATCCGAAGGCAAGCCATCACAATTTTGATCCTCTCCAGAGGGGATGGCAACCCCGCTTCGGAAGCTCGACGACCTGCACGCGAAGTCGAGCACTTTACGGTAGAATAGTTTAACGAGGACCAATACCGCACACTCTCGCTCCCTACGCAGACTGATCCAAGTGGTCACCCACCCGCACACTGACCTCTATCAGTGATGCTTGACTTCGATGATCTGCTGGGAACCGTGTCTTAACGATCAGTTCACTGCGGGACAATAAAGCATAAAAAAGCATTTAAATAGTGTTAATCCAATTGCGACATTTAACGAACGAGGCTCATCATATATTTATTTAGTAAAAATTAAAAAAATTGCTGCCGAAATATTTTTTTGTCAGTCTATTTCAGAGAGAAATAATAAGTAGCAGGCCCTCAACCGACGGTCCAATTCGTCCCAGAGATGTTCAATTTGGTAGATTAACTATATTGGGTTAAGATCAGGGCTCTGCGCCGGCCACTCCATGTGTTTAAAGTTGTTGTTCACATACCAATCAAGAGTCCTCCTTGTAACTTGGGATCTTGCGTTGTCGTCTTGATACAAGCAATCATCCGTACCGTACGTTGCCCACAAGGTGGGAAGGACATGATTGTCGAGAATATCACAGTATCCATCGGCATTCATCCTACCATCTACCTTTACCAGTGGGCCAGCCCCATACCAGGAGAAACACGCCCATACTATCAATCCTCCTCCACCAAACTTTGCAGTTGTCCCGTCACTTTCTTCCAGATAGTGTATATAATTTTATGTTATTAATACATTCTGGTTGATGGAAATATTCAGCTTGTCCATTTGTAATCACTAAGAAGTAAAGATTTCGAATCCCAGTCGGTATTCATTCCGCACCCGGCTTGCACCGATCACAGTGCTGACTTGAAATATTAGATCGTCTACTGTTGTAGACTACTGCGTCTACTGCGGTAGACGGATCGTGGGTTGTTAGAGTCCCCTTGCCTTAAGGCTAACTGTGTGAGGTTCTCGTGGTCTTCCTCTCTATGTAACGCAAATGTAACGCAAATGCGGGTTAGTTCCATCAAAAAGTTCTCCACGAAGGCGAATTTCCCTCAATACTCGATCCAGGAGCTCCCTTGTCTTCTGGATTGGGTCAAAAATTACAAGGCTACTGAGTTGAGCATTAGTCATCGTAAACGGTTACTCTCGTTTCCCTTAGTTAAGCTTTGGGTGACCCGTTGACCACACCTGTGAAATATTCCAATTAAATATTTATATAAATATCTATTTATGAAACAAATCGTTAATTTATATTTCAGAGCCCTTATTTAAAGTAAAGTAAAAGAAAAGAATAACTCGAGTTAACANGACCCGTTGACCACACCTGTGAAATATTCCAATTAAATATTTATATAAATATCTATTTATGAAACAAATCTTTAATTTAAATTTCAGAGCCCTTATTTAAAGTAAAGTAAAAGAAAAGAATAACTCGAGTTAACATTGAGGGAGGGGTTCTTAACACATTGAATGCCATGGGGGTCACCGGTGGCCGGCATTGAGTTTGTTTGTAGCGCCACGGGGATAACCGGTGCCAAGATTATTAGAAACGCATAATTCCAGTAAATTTTTAATTTTTTTAATATTATTATCGTTACTAAAATGGTTTGAAGAAATGTATGCAATATAGAACACACCAAAATAGTTTTATTCATATACACAGAGATGCCTACAACAGAAAAAAGCTACAACAGAACCAAATATATACTAGATAATATATAAATTTTTTTAAGTAATAAATTTTGGCTGCTAGGAACATTCTGTTTATCCAGTTACACATGCTGTTTCCAGTGTTTAACAATTTGAAAAAAAAAAATGTTCTAAAAATGAAACATTGTCATTTAACCTCTTCGAGACGGGCTAGTCATATATGTGTTCTCAGAGTGTCGAGGTAAAAATATATAAAACTGGTAGCCAAACTATTTTTATAGCAGTTTATTTGTGGGCGGGGTAATAATAGTTTGCTTTATTTAATTCACCACCACTTAGTTCGAATTAAAAATTGTATAGTTACACTATTAACACGCAAGCCCAGATAGCAAAATAAGAGTTATTTTCATTCAGCAAAAACCTTTCAATCTAAATCTGAAAAGGTTTGTAACCTTAAAACGAGATCTGCGACAATCTACTCTAATCTACGCACATTACCCTCATCCAAAGCCATGGAAAACAACCTGTTATATAAAAACCTTAAATCGAGGTTGACTTAGGGTTTTCAAGCGTGAAAAAAACCTTTAATAAAGCTAGTCTCAGGGTGAAAATAATCTTAAATCTTGGTAATTTTAAGGTTTCTTTTCGCAAAGTCTCGTATGCTCAGCTAAAATCCACCTTGTCATGGAATTTTAATGGACAATGCAATTTGATTCTATCGCTAGTGTGACGTCAGATAAAACGTCATTATGGACCTAAGTGACAATAGTTTTTAAAAAAGCCTTAAAAAGTAATTTTTAATCTTTTTAGGATAAAAGGTATGAAACTGCAATATTTTTGCACTATTGAAAAAAGGTTTTTTAGTACAAACACATTTTCGTGACAATAAAATGAAAATTCCGACACAAGGTTTGCCGTAAGGTTATATGCTTTCTGGGAAGGATTGGATGTGTTAGATTCAAAGTGAAAGCAAAAATAAGTCTTGTCAAATTAGCTAGGCCCAAATTTAAGCTACCGCTTTTTAACTCTCTTGATTCTGATTCCGTTCGACTACATTTATGACTCAGCAGCTACTGGCCCTCCAACACAAATTTGAAAATGCAGTTCTCTTCTCGGACTCACAAGCGGCCATACAATCAATTAGCTCACATGAACGTCCCTTGACACCTGAGATTTCCCGATGTCAAGACCTCTTGAGGTCTTTATTTTTGAGGGGAAAACGAATAGTCCTCCAGTGGGTGCCAGCCCATTGTGGTGTTTGGGGCAATGAGCAGGCAGATTTACTTGCCAAGAAAGGTGCCAATTTGCTACAACAACCAAATACGGCAACTTCCTTTTGGAAAATCAAACTGTTCCTTAAAAATTTATGTAAAACCAACTCATTGCAAGACCTTCAGACTCGCACAGCTTTGAAAAGTTGGAGAAATGTAAGCTCTTCTTTAATTCCTGACAAACCAAGACGTGATGCAGTTGCGGCCTTCCGCTTATATACAGGCCACGATTGTCTTTCTGCTCACTTACACCGCATAGGCCTTTCCACCACGCCTTTTTGTCCACTTTGTAAATCTGGAGAGAAATTGGGCAGGGACCACCTGCTTCTATGTGTGCCCCTTCATGGACACACTGAGTCCTCAAGATATTGGGAAGCAAGAGAACTTTTAAGGCAATGACTTCGGTCTTCTTTCTTTGTTATCCTACGTACATTTGTATTTGTTATTTATTTCATCTTTCTATTTTTACCTTTTGCCTTGTCATTAGAAAAAAAAACATTTATGACTCACCCGTCCCGAAAAGGTTAAAAAGTAAGGAAAATATTCCAGAAAAAGCGCAGTAGTTGGCAATCCTGCTTATCAAATAAAAATTTTCTCTCATTTTTAACCGTGTCAAGCGTTCATTTTGCAGTAATGAGGAAATTGCCTTTATGACCTTTGCACAATGATAATAAAATGTGTGTTGGATACAAATTATATTTTATTCAATTAACAACCAATTTGATTAAAAAGCACAGCAATTACTTGTATTCAAAATAAACTGTGGAACATTGTGCAAACGAGGTAACTGGCCTCAGCACTTAAGGGATAGTTTTTGACTAAGGGGGTGAATTAAAATGAGGTTAGTAGTTGATAAGTGGTTAGTCACAATATGTTGCTGTGAATGACCGTGGTTGTTGACTTCCACAAGTGAATGTTGACAATAGTCAATAATAAATGCAATAATATCAACGAATAAATTAATATCAAATCGGATATAACACCGGACATTCACCAAAGCGACTGTAAGATTCACTGGTGACAATGTCGACATTCCCTTGATTTCGGTCTTTCACGATCATATTTTTAATTTTATGTTCATTTGTAATCACTAAGAAGTAAAGATTTCGAATCACAGTTGATACGAATTCCGCACCCGGCTTGCACCGACCACAGTGCTGTCTTGAAATATCCTCAGTGGTAGATGGATCATGGGTGAGAGTCCCCTTGCCGTCAGGCTTACCGTATGAGGTTCTCGTGGTCTTCCTCGCCATGTAGTCCATCAAAAAGTCCTCCACGAAGGCAAATTTCCCTCAATATTCGATCCAGGAATTCCCTAGTCTTCTGGATTGTGTCAAAAATTACAAGGCTACTGAGTTGAACATTAGTAGTCGTAAGTCCAAACAATTGGGTCGGTTGTTCAACGACGGTTATAATATGAAAAATAAAGAAGTAGAGATTTAATTTATCAGTCTTTAAAAGTTGTAAAAAGAGGCATGTTCCCAAAAATGGAACATCGGCTCTTTAACGTTTAATCAAGACTTATCACCCATTTTTAACTTAAAATTAGTGGTTCATTCTTAAAATTATGTACAAGTTCTGGTGCTGCAATTGAAAATCATCTTCAATTAGAAAAAGTATGGAGAATGAGCTGTATAAAGAAAATAAAGCTTAAAAACTGAACGACTCAATAAAATGAGAGACGAAAAACATAAAATACATCCGTAGTTCCATCTAAAGAAAGACATGGCATATTTTAATAGAATGGGGAAAAAAACAAAAATTAGGAATCTTAAGTTTCGAAAGCAAGCAGTGGTGTCTCCATCTGGTGTGGAAACGAGAAAAGTTTTCATTTGCGATACTGACCATATTTAATAACAACACTACCTGATTTGCAAAGGGTTTTGTAGAATTTAGATAAGGGTTGCCAAATTTAAACATAGTGATATTGATACCAGATTTGCAAAGGCAGATAAGAGAAGTGTATCTGAACTGATAAACTAGTACACATGTGAGAATGAAGGTGAATGTAAAGGTGTACTAAAGACTGATGCGCCCACGCAGAACAGCGTAGAATAAAGCAGATTTTAGTGGGTGGAGATGATTGTACTGTTCTTTTTCTGAGACAAAGTGCTGCGAGCCACACGTGATAATTGTGCGATACGAAAGCATTGTTTCAAAAACTTTAAATGTTTTAATATCGCTTTTTAGCTTTAGAACATCGACCGGAAAGTTTTAGTGCTTAAATTTATTCCCTTTAATTCGGAAAAGTTTTTGGTAGGTAAAAACTATTTTGATTATTTTAGTTCATAGGGTGCATGTCCCCGGTTGCTCTCGTTTCCCTTAGTTAAGCTTTAGGTGACTCGTTGACTACACCTGTCAAATATTCCAATTAAATATTTATATAAATATCTATTTATGAAACAAATCGTTAATTTATATTTCAAAACCCAAATTTAAAGTAAAGTAAAATAAAAGAATAACTTGAGTTAACATGGAGGAGGGGGGGGGTTCTTAACACATTGAATGCCATGGGGGTCACCGGTGACCGGCACTGCATTTGTTTGTAGCGCCACGGGGATAACCGGTGTCAAGATTATTAGAAACACACAGTTCCAGTAAATTTTTAATTTTTTTTATATTGCTAACGTTACCAAAATGGTTTGAAGAACTTTATGAAATATAGCACACAAAAATAGTTTTATTTATATACACAGAGATGCCAACTTGCTCCGGACAGCGAATAAATATTATCAAGTGGTAGTTTATTAATTGTGATTTTTCGTTTAATGAATTAAATTTAGTAGACTTTTATTCACCACTATTTCTAAACAATTCGTTGGCTAATGTAATTCACCAAATTTCTTTGGGGATATGTAATGCTAAACTTTTTAAAAAACCAGCAAAATCTGCCTAATATTTGCGAATTTAGTTAGTAGTTATTTACCGTTTGGCCAGACGGGCAAGCCATGTAAAATTAGCGTGTCATTCAAAGTGTTAACATGATCATATGGATCATTATGTTTATTAATTTGGAATTCCTAATTTATTTACGATTTTATGGAGCTTCTAAAAATATATGTTTAGGCCAGATTTTGTAGAACAACCTGATTAAGTACTTATTGCGTAAAATTATACAGCAAATCTTTGAAAATCATGTTTCGCTTTGTTTTACACTTTTAAAAACTAAAATTCTTTCTCTAACAATGGCTGTTTAGTTATATTTGAATTCTCATTTTTTTTTGGTCCACCATTGTTATAACAGAGCTAATAGATATAGTTAAACAATTGGAGTCAAAAGTAACAAATAGTATTTTATGAAGCATTCATTGTTGAAAACTAATTTAAACGATAAGTAAAAGTCATTATTGAATTCATTTTGTGTTTGAAATTCATATCTGAAGGGTGCGTTTTGAAGATGAGTAAAAGTTGTTGAAGAAAGCTGGTAGAAAATAGTAAGTTTAAATATTAAAAATATTTAGTTTATAAAATATAAAAGAATAAAAAAATACAGTTTGCAAATAGTTTAATGGTACTCAAAATATTTTAAATTTTTTCATAGCAATGCATTTAAGTATCTTTAAAATGAAACTATTTGTGAGTTTGATGTTTGAATTATCTCTTTCTAAGAATACAATCATTATAATTAAAAGCCATAATATATTTTAAAATATTATAAACATAAACTAAATGTAAGAATTGTAATGAAATGAAATTAATTTTTTTTCCTTCAGTTTTGTTGACTGTACAATATCATTGAAAATCAGCCATTTTATGGTTTTTGTTAAGGCTGTCTTTCGAAAACTCCGTTGTTCATTATGCTTTTTTGAGTATTATATACTAATTTCATAACAGTTGTTAATTTGCAACGGTTACTCCTGACTGTTAGATCAAGTTTAAACTATATTCTGAAAATGGCGCAAAACGTCATTATGGAGAGAAGTCACTGTTTTGTTGTGAAAATGGAAAGCGTTTGTAGTTTAAATTTGTAGCATTTGAAAACATACTCCAATGTCGCATTATCTGGGCTCATAAGAAATGACAAAAATTAAGAAAAAGACAGCGATTTTGATACTTTTCATCTAGGGGGAAAATATCGCCAAATTGGTGATTTTTAAAGAAGTTTAATAACTAAGTTTGAACTATTTTATTTTTGAAGTTCGAACTATTTTATTTTATATTTTATAACCGTCGTTGAACAGCTGACCCAAATTTTTGGATTTATGACTATTAATGTTCAACTCCGTATCCTTCTAATTTTGAACCCTATCCAGAAGACAAGGGAAATCCCGGATCAAGTATTGGGAGAAATTTGCCTTCGTGGAGGACTTTTTGATGGAACAAACCAGCATTTGCATTACATTTGCATTACATGGAGCTACCTTCCACAGATAGCTTGACGGCAAAGGGACTCTAACTCTTGATCCGTCTACCACTGAGGATATTTCACTTCACCACTGTGGTCGGTGCAAGCCGGATGCGGAATTCGTATCTACTGGGATTCGAACCCGGTTAGCCTCATTGGAAGGCTAACGCTCTATTCCCTGAGCCTTCGCGGCTCACCCCCATAGGTATTGATTTGTTATGGGAACATGGGGGACTTTGCGACTCGACAGATTTAACTTGTATTAGTCACCATTTTACTACACGAGGAGTCTTCGACCGACGGGAATCAAACTCGCAAACTCTTGTACATGGACCCGGTGCTCTTCAAACCAGGCTATGACGGTCTCAAACTTACTCCAATGTCGCATTATCTGGGCTCATAAAAAATGACGAAAAGTTAGTGATTTTGATACTTTTCAACTCGGGGGAAAATATCGCCAAATTGGCGATTTTTAAAGAAGTTTAATAACTTTTGAAATATTTAAGATATTTGTTCTAGCATCCAGATATAGTTCGTTCACCAGGAGTTGAGACTTGGCTCCACCTCCTCGGACGCAGAGTTCATTTCAGCGCGGGGGAGTTAGAGGAAAAACATCTCCGTTGTTGAAATTGAGACAACCCTTAATTTGCGCCAAACACAGAAAGTAAATTCTTTTTCACTTACTTTGCTTTATCATCTGCTAATATACCTTTTGTTACACTAGCTAATTAAATATAGTTTAAATTTAAAAACTGTTGTTCTCCCAGCGAAATGTCTCATAATGGACAAACTATTCACTCAAAAGAAAGAAATATCATAAAAAATAGTGTAAAATATCATCAAATTTATGAAATATTCATTGTTAAAAAAATTCACATAAAGTTTGCGAAATAAATATTTTTGCCAAACGATCGCCAAATAGCAACATTGTTCAGGATTGCTCACAACCTTCTCCCTAAAATAGCGAAATAGTATCGTACCACGTGATGAAGGCGGAGCCAAGTGCCAACTCCTGGTGAACGAGCTATAATTCTTTACGCCAAGATGATATATA